TAAGGCGTTAACATTCAGGATTACGGCGTTAACATTCACGATTAAGGCGTTAACATTCAGGATTAAAGGGTATATATTCAGGATTAGGGCGTTTACGTTCAGGATTAAGGCATTAACATTCAGGACTAAAGGGTTTACATTCAGGATTAAGGCGTTAATATTAAGGATTAGGGCGTTTACATTCAGGATTAAAGTGTTTACATTCAGGATTAAAGGGTTTACATTTAGAGTTTGTATACCTTAGACTAAATGTTTACATTAAAAATTATGGTTTATATTCTGGATTAAACATTTCTATTTAGGATTAATGATTTTTATTCTGGATTTAGAGATCATATTGAGGAGTAAAGTGTTTGTGTTCTAGATTAAATGTTTATATTTCCTATTAAAGGCCCTTCTTCTGTGTTGTTGCAGGTAAAATCACCTGAGCTGGCTGTAGTCCATGTTGAGGGTTTTGACCACTCTTTGCAGAGAGCTGACCTCTGACCTCAGAGCCTGCAGTTGTGATTGGCTGTCGGTCAGCTCACCTTCCAGCTGAAAAAACATGAACAGACGGATGTGATGCAGTAAAGCTGTCCTGCTCAGGCAGCATCACTCAGAGGTCAGGTGAGCTGTGGTACCTGCAGCAGCTGTTTGTTCAGCTCTCTCTTATCTGAGGCCAAAACTGAGTTCAGGGCGGCCATCTTGTCCAGAGCGTCCCGTCCTTCTTCCACCTCCCGTCTCAACAAACTCTCCGAGGATGAGAGGCGCAACACAGCCTCTCTGGACTGAGGACAACCAAGAACCACAAACACACTGAGGATTAAGGGTTTAGGTTCAGAATGAAACGGTTTCAATTCAGGGTTAAACAATCAGAATTCAGAAATAAAGGATTTAAAATCAGGACTAAATGGTTTAAAATGTTAAATTAAAGGGTTTAAATGCAGGATTAATGGGTGTAAATCATAGACTGTATAAAAGATGGACGTAGCAACCGGCCCTGAAACATGAAGCCGACCCGGAAGTGTCAAAAACCTGCAGCATCACTACGTCCACTAGCTGCTGGCTCCACAAAGCCCTGGCTCCCATAGACTGGAACTGGAGAAGAAGTGATCACAGATCACCAAATACTGCATTCCTACAGCTCAGGATTTATTTCTTATTAGTTTTCATGGTCAGATTCAGAGATCAGGTGGCCAATCTGAAAATAAATCAATACTGAATTTTAAATAAATCATCAACATTTTGCGGGGCAAGGGGCGTGGCTGGCTTGATTGACAGTCGGCAGCGACCATACAGACGAAGCGAGCAGAAGGCGGTAAATGTGGACGGGCAGAGAGGGCCCGCCTCTCAATCCGTCTGACCAATCGCTGCTCCTATGGCTCCGCCCCCTTCTGACGATTATTGCGTCACTTGCTCCAAAAATCCAAGATGTCAACCAGGAAGTAGCAAAACCCTGGCTTCATGTTCTCAGAGCAGAAACCAACGGGTAACGACATGGTTGCTACGTCCATCTGTTATACAGTCTGTGGTGTAAATCCTGGATTGATCTGTGCCTTGTGGAGTGCATCTCTGGCATCAGCAGTTTCTTCTTCTGCCCTCTGCTTGTCCAGCTGCTCTCTCTCTAACGCCCCCTGCAGGTGGACAGACAGACACACAGGTGGAGAGACTCAGTTGTTTTCTGAAGCTCAGAGTCAGTAAAGTACAGCAGAAGCTGTTCTGACCTTCAGACTGTGGATCTCTGTTCTCTGCAGAGCTTCTCTCTCTGACAGCTGGACGTTCTCCAACTGCTCCGCCTCCACTCTGAAATAGACCCAGGTAACAGATGTACAGCAGAGAACACAGAGCAGCAGAACCCAGGAGAACATAGAAGAACCCAGAGCAGCAGAACCCAGGGGAACACAGGAGAACCCAGAGCAGCAGAACCCAGCAGAACCCAGGAGAACCCAGGAGAACCCAGGAGAACAGGTTACCGTCGGTGCGTCTGAGCCTCCAGCTGCTGCAGTCGGTCTCTGTCTCTGTGGAGCTCCTGCAGCTGCAGTCTGAGGGAGGACGACTCCTGCTGCTCTCTGCCGGGTCATACATGTAGAAACACACATATCAGCTATACAACAGACACGGCTGTGAACACAAGATGACGCACACGTGTACAGTCCATGTTTATGACGACCGTCTTTAGTTTCCAGTGACTCCTCTAACCTTCTCTGATGGAACCACTGAAACATGAATCTTTGACGCAAAAACAATCCTGCATTCTGGCTTTGTCATAGATCTACTAAAGGTCTTCTGGAAACATGAAAACCTGCTGGATCATAAATAAACAAACAGAAATGTTAATATCTGGTTACACGTCCATGTTCTCCTCAGTCGGGTTCTTCTGGGTCTGTCCACCAGCTTCTGGTCCATCTCTGACTCCTCTGGACAGAACCGCTGCAGTTCAACTAAACTCGTCGTCTTTCTGACTC